TGCTTATTGGAAGCAGCTTCATGTACATGACAGATATCAGGCTCAGAAATTTAGATTAAGGTGAATCATATTGCATTTTCCTAAATCAGCACACACAATAACTACATAATATTTAAATGCTTTCTTGCTTTCACTGTTTTCATAATATAAAACACTCATAAACTCAGGGTAGTCAAAATGCAAACACAAAATTCTAAGACATGTAAAGAAATATATTAACATTTAAATACGTGAGTTGAGGGAAGAAAGTTTAAAAAAATCAAATGGATGTGCTTAAGTAAGTAGTTTAAAATTGCAAATGTGATCATTTTCTTTTGAAACACTATACTATACTTAATACTCCCTAATAAATTATCTACAGTTTGATATAATAAAGGGTATTGATAGATTTTCAAAATGTTATACTTGAATAAGTTCTCTGACACTCATAAGCAGGTCCTTTATAATGATTTTATCCATGTAGTTGTTTTTAATTTGCTCAATACACTGAACATCAGGAAACTTAAAAATAATGACATGCGATATTAAAATATTTTGCAAATAACTTCAAAATATGAATTATTAATTATGGAAATATTGATCTTTTAAACTGACATGCAAAATAACAAAATAAGATCATTGATGAACATCATTTTTGATTTATGTGTGAATCATATTTATTCATGGTATTCTGAAGATACTTTGTGAAAATGTAACACTTTTCTGAGCTATACTTTTCCTTTATCCCTGAAATCAGGATCCACAAGTTCTATGCAGTGAGTTCTCTCCCTTCTGCTTGAACATTTAGTTTCCAAAATACATAAAGTCTTCCCATGCTGGTTAAAAACATAAATCCTTTTTAAAAGCCTGCTGTCAGGTTTACAACATAAGAATGTTATTGTCAAGGAGCTGGGAGCCATTCCTTGGAAATGCTTGGCAGAGTGTTCAGTGTTTTGATTTCTTCTGCTTATGACAATAAAGACAAAATTTACTCACTGTTTAAATTTTTCCTTATGAAAATTTGCTACATCGTAATTATAACTCTCCTAAGTTTGAGGAAAATAGCATTTTGCAGAATAAAATATCTGGCTTCATGTAAATTCTAATTTTCCAAATTCCAATTGTGCGTTCAGTGTTCTGGAATAATAGATACCATCCTTCTTGGGGACAGTATATAGACCTAAATTTTCTTTGTGGTTTCTCGTTTAGTAATACCTTCAAAGTAACATTCTTATCAATATTCTTTGTCATAAAAATTATGCTTAAAATATTAAATATGCCTGTGTTCCAATTATTAGCTTAACCTTCTGATGAGATTCTCTGTACCAAGTTAGAATAATATTAGTGACTCTCAGAATTTGTAATATACTTTGCATTAGTGTATATCCTTAGCACAAATGAAATTCTTCCTTGCTTCAGGTTTAATTGATTTCATTTAACCAAATTGATCTAAGATTCTCGATGTAATTTTAATAAGATAACAGTATTTCCTATCAAGTTCTAGACAAGAGAGTGAGAGTCTAGCTTGCTCATCAGGAAGCCAGTGGTGACAGAATATAGGCATCTAGCTTGAGGCAGATAAAATTAAATTTACTATGCCTCATAGGGTGGCCTCTAACTCAAGATGATATTTGTACTTTGACCTCATCAGTTCTAAGATTATAGATGTGAACTACCACCACATCAGGTTGTCCTTTGATTCCTTATTCCTTCCTTCTTTCCTCTGTCCTTCTCCTTCCCCCTTCTGCACTCCCTTATGTATAAGGATTTGTCTGAACGTCCATGTGTAAACCATGTACCCAAGTTCAGAAGGTATTTTATGCCCTGAAACTGGAGTTACAGAGGATTTTTAGCTGCCAGGTGGGTATTTGGAAATGTACATAGGTCCTCTGGAAAAGAAACCAGTGCTTTTAACCACTGAGCAATCTCTCCAGCCCATTCTTACTGCAAATAAATATATGAGATCTTTGAATAACTGCCAAAATTGGAAAAGGCCAGTTTAATGAAAACATTGACTATTGTCATTTAATGAGGGTTTTGTTTTGCTAAATTATCACAAAAGTTACTATGGTGACTGTGTCTTTTAAAGCAAACATTCAGTGGTGAGTTGTGAGGATTTAGTTTGACACATTCCCACATGGATTTTGAGGTGTGACATCTCCATTACCAGCTCAATAGCTAAACTCCTGGAGCATTAGCTTTGTGGGCTGAAGGATAACCGAATTTGTGCCTGGTAGATATGGTTGGCATTTACACCTGATTTCCTGGTAACTTTACTTTCCATAGTATTGATATCAGTGACCTAAACTGACAAGTCAGTTGGGAACAGAAACAAGCACTTGTCAAGTTCTTTCCAAAAGTGAATCTAAGACCTAAAATTGCTGCCTAAGAATTGCTCTTGCTCTGCCTGTCCAAAGCCCCCCCTCCACTGAGGGCCACTGCACTGATGCAGCTCTGCCTATTTGAGGACACCCCCACGGAAAGTCACCATAGTATGCTGATAAAGAGATGTTAGAATCATCTAAAAATAAAGAAAATATTTATTTTCACATGTAGTAAAATAGCTTGAACCTCACAGTGAGAGGGAAGTGTAGATATTATTACAGGATAGTTGGTCTTTTACTACTAATATAAGTATCTGATCATTTTCCATATTTGTAAGAACCACTGCAATCATCAAAGTCTATGGTTAATAGATTTCTAACAATAATTAATTAAAAAGAACATGATAGCAACTTGAAAACACACCAAGATATTGATTTTTTTATTCAAATAGTATGTGTAGCAATTTGGAAATATCAAACACAGATAGCATCGATTGGTATGTGCTAATACGAATTGGAGAAAAATAAAAATAAACTCGGTAGACCCAAATCAACATTGACTTAGATGTAGATATTTTTTGATCCCTCCCCTTGGAGCTGGAGAAAGAGCATAGAAGACAGAGTGAAAATATTGTAGAAGTCAGAGAGGATGGGAGACACAAGGAGAACATGACCACTCAATCAAGCAAGCAGGGCCCATAGGGCTTACATAAACTGAAGCTGCAAGCATTGGGATTGCATGGGTCTGCATCAGGTCCTCTGTGTATATATGTTATGGCTTTTAAGCTTGGTGTTCTTGTGGGACTCATTACAGTGGAAGTGGGTATGTCTCTGAATCTTCTACCAGCTCTTGGGATTCCTTTCTTCCTATCGTGTTGCCGTATCGAGCCATAATATGAGGGCTTTTGCCTTGTCTTACTGTATCTTGTTTTGTCTTGCTTGCCTATTTGTTTCATGGAGGCCTGATCTTTTCTGAAGGGAAATGGAGAGAGAGTGGATCTAGGGGAGAGGGGAGTTCTGGGGGGCGGGCAGTGGGAGGAGTGGAGGGAAGGGATATTGTGGTAAAGAAGCATTGTTGGCATTAAGGAGAAGAATCTAATGTCAATTTAAAAAATAGAATAAAATCTGATTTTCATCACTACTATGTGTCCCCCTAATATCAAGTCTCCATCTCCTTTTTGCTTTAAGTTACCTTCCTGCATTTACATTGTCATGAAACTCACCCAGTAACATAGAGGGAGGTCTGATGATCAAAGGGATTAAGACTGGGCTGGTTTAACCCCCAGAAACAGCTGACCAGACAAAGGTTAACTCTTGAATCCCAGGCATCAGCCTGGGAATCCAGCATGGGACTGATCAAGACCCCCCTGAATCTGGGTGACAGTGAGGAGGCCTAGGTAATCTACTGAGCCTTGGGCAGCAGATCAGTACCCATCCCGAGTATACACACGGACTTTGGACTCCCATAGAACAATGTGAGGTGCACTCTCACCCTGAACTCTTGGGGAAGGGTCTAGGCCCTGCCTTATATGAAATGACAGACTATGGACACCCCCATGGAGGGCCTCACCCTCCCTGGGGGAATGAGGGGATAACGGGGGGGGGTTAGGGGGAGGGCACGGGAGGAGGGGAGGGAAAGGGAGAGGGACCTGGAACTGACTTGTGAAGCAACCTTGTTTCTTATCTAAATTTAAACTGGAAAATAAAATAAAAAAATCATAAAAAAGAAGACAATTAACAATTGAAAACAAGCTCAAGTAGCCTGATATTTTTATGGCATTATTTGCTTGTTTTATCTACTTTACATCAATAGTATGAAAATAAAGCCTTTAAAGAAAACAAAAAAAAACCTCACCCCTGAAATTCTGAGTGACCAGTGTAAACTTGAAGCACATCTTATAACCCTGTTTTACTTCCATATGAGTCCCTACTTCCATTTTCTAAAACACAGAGCTCTACCTCAACTTATTTTTAGATCAACTCCATGAACTCACCTTCAATATCTTACCAATTGCTCTGTGCTATGCATAAATATAGTTATTCTGTGAGTGTAATTCTCTGAGCCACATGTCCTTGTCAACACTGGTCTTATATTCTCAATGAAAACACCTTTTGCTTCAATGTTGATTGTCATTCTGTTCTTGGTTTACATCATCAAGAGTTTCCCCTTCATGGAGATCATCTGTTTGGGCTGATTTCTACGGAATACTTGACATTATCTGATATTGTTATAATTAGAGCCTGTTTCAACCAGGCTTTTTTTTAAGGTTTAGGATGGTATGAACTTAGTCTCACTTTTTCACATCAAATCAGGGACACTATAACACAACATTTTATACTGGATAACTGAAATCCCAAACAGGACTGATAGTTCTAGGGTGGGAGGAAATATAAGATCATGGTACAAGCTGATTCATTCTGATGACAACTTTTTTCCTGGTTGATAGATGCCTTCTTTTATACTGTGACCTCAAATCATAGCATTTTTCTCCTGTGTTGTTTCAAGTGCATCTATTCTACTCAAACTGGACCTATATTCTTGGCTTAATTAACTTTTGAAGACCAATTTTTACATATTATCAAACAAACATTAAGTTTATTGTAGGTAGGAACCTTCATTATGTTAATAAAATGTCTAATGTCTAGAACAACATATATGAACATTTAACATTGATAAATGTAACAAAAGTTGCTTTTATTTGGAACCAGTAACATGGTATTGAAGGCACACTGTATTATATCTTTCACTTGTAGATTCCTGTCTCAGCTGTGACAATGGTTCAAACGTGTTTGTGACTCACTTCCATTCAAGTAACTCACATTATATGCTAGTTGTGAAGTAGACAACATGTTCTATGATGATGCTTTGTTGTGTAAGATCTCCTTACATTAAACTCTGGAACAATCAAAAGAGAATAAATACATTTTAAATTAAAAGCAATCCACAGATGCATGGGAATCATTTCTGTCATCTGACTATCATTGCTTCTCTCACAAGTTGCCAATTTTGTGCATGCAAGTTCCCAAAACATTATTACCTTTTGACAACCATTCTGGGATTATCCACTTTGAGTCAAGCAATATTCTTTAATACTAGTTGGAGTATCTGTACACTCTACCTTGCTTAATAACTTACACACATATAGTATTGCAACTATGTTATGCAATTCAAGCATTTATTTAGAATTCTGATGTTATTGTTACTTTTATATTATGATAAATGACACATATGTTAAAAATAGAGATTTTTCAACAAAATTCTGAGTTACTTGTTACACAGGCATACTCAAAAGCACAATCCAAACCTTGTGACCTCAATTCTAATTATTTTCTTTTTGTCTCTTTCTCTGTTTTTCTCTCTTCTCTTAAACACCCACTTGTGTGCATGAGTGTGTGTGTGTGTGTGTGTGTGTGTGTGTGTGAAAGAGAAAGAGAGTGAGGGAGGGAGGGAGGCAGGGAGGGAGGAAAAGAGGGAGAGAGGGAGAGGAAATGTGTATGTCATTTTAAGAAAGAATGGGTGCTACATCAAGCTACAATGCCGATCACACAGAACTCCAAATGTGTTTAAAATCCAGGTGTGATGCTTTAGATGCGTCCCTTTGTGCAGATAAGAAAACCAAATTTACAAGCTTTTAAACTAAACAATGAGCTTTAGTTAACTGCAAATCAAATTGAAACAGAGGTCTCAAATAAGGCTAAATTAAATTTAATTATACTCTGTTCTCCATCAAAAGTGACAGATTTTTCTATTATATTTCATTCACAGTGAATGAAATTTTTAAGTCTCCTATTGTCACATTGTTGCAGTGCTAGGCCCTTCTCTCCATCTAAATTATACCTTTATATTTGTCTGAAGTTAAAGTTTGAATAGCATCTTTGAGGTAATTATGGCACCCCTCAGCAACCTAAAAGATGAATTACAATTCATTTTAGTCTCTTCAGAAATTATTAAACTAAAACTTAACTTTTAAAGGTCTTAAGCTTTATTATCCTTGATCCTTTCTCACATTTTAGTATTCTTTATAAGCCTATACCTGCTAGCTAGAAATGGTTATTTCATCGTATACTCTCTTTTATGTACATGGCAATCCCTGGCTTAAGGGAAATAAAATAATTTGAGCAGTCACCTGCCCAATGCAGCATCATAACAACTGAGATATTTTCTCAGCCTCACAAAATGTAATTCCAAATATATATTTACTGTGCAAGTTTGAGGACAATAAGTTTTCAAATGAAATGGGTTTAGTAGGGAAACAAAAATATATGTGTAATGATATATACACTATCATATATAATATTCTATCCATACCTACTGCAGGTCTTCAAGCATAATGGAAGAAATGTATTTCCTGTTGGCTGAAAGGAAATGAACATATGAAGTGTCCTGTAAGATATGATGAGGAAATGTGGGTATTTTTGGAAGGAAAGCTTCTTTGAATGCAAATAGATATTTAAAGAACAATTAAAAGTTGATGCTTCTAGCAAAGCAGTAGCCTTAGAAGGGCCTCAGATGTAAACCCACATTTCAAGGCCAAGAAGAGCAATTGTATGCCATGAAGAAGAGTTCCTGGGGATCTGAATTTGCTGATAACATTTGTGTCAACTTCTTTGCTCCTTTCTTTTCTTTCCTCAAACTTGGAAATTTCCTATTTCTGAGAGAGTAGGATATTTTCCATGTTCTTAGACTCCCGTTCATATCTTTCTTCTGACTCTCATGTGATATTATTTTTTCTGTGTTTCCCTGAGTAAGCATGAGAAAAAAATGGAAATTTTTATTACTGGCTTGTTCCACCTCAAGACACTCGGTAGACTAAGTTACTTTCAGAGTAGGTTGCATCTTTGTCCTTGCTGTTTTTGCCAATATACATGCATACATACATGCATGCATACATGCATACACACACATATTCTTTGAGAATATGTACACACATGCAACGAAATATGGTCATGTTTACATCCTTTTTCTGCTTTCTTTTTTATTATACATTTTTTATTTAACTTTTTACACGTGTCATTTCAGTTCCCTCTCCCTCGCCTCCTCCTCCACCCCCAATCCTCCCAACCCCTCACTCCCACTCCATACCTTTTCTGCTTTCTAATTCATCCTATGCTCTGCAATATTCCCCTCCCATCTTCATGACGATGGCAAAGACAGATTTATTTATTTTTCCTCTTCCTCCTCTTCCTACTACTCTTCTCCATTTTCTTTAGAATAGTCCACTAATTCCATTTAGTGCAAACTATACTTTGCATCAGTGTGGAGTCACCCATTGGATAATTGGAAGCCTACTTGTGGTCGCACCCTTAAAGAAGAATGTTTCTTTCTTCCTTAGCAGCTACTGGCTAACAGCAATTTCTCAATAAAGAGGGGAACATACAGACATTCCCCAACCTGTGATAGAAGGAGCCCCAACCTGTGATAGAATTTCAGGTGGCTTGAACTTGAATTTTTGGATTCCTTTAACCTTTACTGGGTAAGCTTTGCTCCTGTTATTTAAGTTAGAATTCTCTTTTCTCAAGTCCTTATTTGTCTCCACACTACAAATCCTATGGTCTCTCCTAGCCTTCATTCAAATTAACTACAAACCATTTAACCACTAGCATTTGACCAAAGTTATATTGGTCATCAAAGATACTTTCTTCTCCATCCATTTCTACATTTATTAGAAATTGATCTTTTCTCCATAATGAATCCTGATTACAGTTTTTTGTATCTACTATTCCCAGTACTTCCAATCCAGATCTAACCCCTTAGTTTTTTTCCATTAGAAAATGAACCAGCTCATGAGAAATGATAATAAAATGAAATAAATGAGATGAAAAAACTAACGCATCAAAATAGAACAAAACAAACAGAAGGAAAAGAGCCCAAGAAAAAAACACAGGAAACAGACATGTACACAGAGTTCCACTACTTTTCTATAATCTCCTTTCTATTTTCTGCTTGTTTAGTTTAGTCAGCTGTCCAGTATCTCCATGATGCCCATAAAATCCAAGCACTTTGCTTCTACTTTTTTTCTTTAATTAGGACCCTTTGTCCTATCACCATTCCTTTTACTCACCATTCTAACTCAATGGTCTCTCCCATATCAGCACAATGCTTAGACTATAGCTTGGATATAAATGTCAAAAGTTTGGTACAGTTGGGAGATGGTAGAGTCTTCAAATGGCAGAACTTCGTTGGAGAGAGTTAGGCATAAAGAGTATGCTCTAAGACAAAATACTGAAGTTCCAGTCCCTCTCTGGTGTTTTGTTTCCTACCTGCCAAGAGGTGAACAGCTTCCTTCATATCCACTTTTTTCCTCTAAAAATCAACATATTTTTCTTTTCAAGTTATCAGAAGTACTTGGCTATAGTAGCAGAAACCTAGCCATCACAGACCAATCAAGGATTCTCTGAATGAATCTCATTTAGGAGTTTGAATATACTGTTTTCTTTTTTTTCAGATCTAGGGTACCAATGGGATCTTGATTTTACATACCCTATTTTATTCTGATTTTCTTCATGACTATTATCTTCACTTGATGAAATTATCTTATTATTCTTCATATAGCTAGAATGTAAAGCACAAGAACAATCATATTTGTTTTGTTGTTAGTGTTCTGCCTTGCACAGAATCATTGCTCCAAAAATTATTAAATCAGTCATAATCTAAGTGTCATAAAATGCAATCTTATGGAAAGATTGCTTGGCACTTCAATGGGCAGAGGAAATGAAAAATAAACATGAACATAAAATAGATGTTGGTATACAGTTGATATTTTAGTGCAATTGGATTCTAATAAAGCTCTCAAAATTTAACATCTCTTTCTTGGAAACATATTTAATTGACTCATTTTATTTCCTTTAGAAAATCTATTATTCTTTTAATAATGGATGAGTTACTCTGAAAAATAAAGAAGATTCATGGTGTTAACGTGTATGAGACATAATAGGTAGCATCTGTAATGCCCATTACTCCTAATACCTGCCTCCTCATGTTATTCCAACTTCCTGACATATGTGTGATGTAAGTATCTGAGAACAAGTTGAATCCCTTGATGACAAGTCTCATGGATTTAAATTGAGCCTCTATGCTGTTAAGTTTATCAAACAGGCAGTGATTTCTTTGTACTATAAGTACTTGCCACCTAAGTCTTTGGGAGTTACTTCAATCTTTCACTCAAACACTAAAATAGTAATAGTAAACTGGGTGTAAACTGTGGGGAAGGAATCTATACTTGAAATACCACATGTTGTTACTAAGACTCAAAGAGAGTGGAAGGGAGTCAAGAGAGGTGTTGAAATTCATACCAAAGACTGCGTCATGGATGGCAGCGGTGAAAAAGTTTGACTGACTAACTCTGTATACTTCCCTGCATCTGCCATCAATGAAATGAGTAAAATTATGTTTGGCATTTTCAATCTGCTCCACGTGTTCATACATAGATTTTTAAAACCACCAAGAGCTCAGAAATCATTCTTTCAGTTTATAGACTCCGCCCACATATCAATTGGAGTGCTACTCATATTAACTCACAGACTGAGACAGCATGCACAGGGCATGAGGGGGTCTGCACCAGATGGGGTCCTAGAACTGAACGAGAAGTGTATACTACACATACCTCCATCCCTATCCAAACGCTTCCTCCAATTGATAATCGCTTCCAAATGAATTTAGTTTTCTTCAAGAGAGTCTCACTAGAGAGACAATCTACCCTAATGGGTAGACTACATGGCCAGCAGTAATTGGCCAACAGAAGTATGTTTGGTGGTTCCCTGTCTCAAATTTTATGTCTGTGTTTTTGTATTTTCTTTTAAATTCTCTTTATTATTTCTATGATATATTATACTTACATATGCTTTCTTTTTACCCTAGAGGTATTTTGTGTATATATTATGCCTTCTAGTTAAGTGTTTTTATGACATTCCTGAGTGTGTGAATGAGTGGCTTGATGCATCTATATCTGTTTCTTGTGCCTTTTCTCATGCCCTTTACCTTCTGTTTGTTTTTTCCTATTCTGATGTATACATTTTTGTTTTATTTTATTGTCATACCTTAGAAGCCAGATTTATTTTTCATTAGAGACAAAGGAGGGTGGATCCAGATTGAAGGGGAGGTGGGGAAGAACTACGAGGAACAGAGGGAAGGAGAGGAAGGTGTTGCCAGAATATATTATGTGAGACAATAATTTTCAATAAAAGGAAAAATAAGTTAAGAGAGATAAACAATGCAATTATATTTATATTCAGAGAATATTCTTTATAAATTAATGTTGCTTTTGAATACTTGGGTGGTTCTCTTTAAAAAAATATTTTCCAGGTATGGGATAGGGAAATTCCTCACCTAATATACAGAAGACCTTGTGTTCAGGACCTGGTACTAATGCTACCACCTTCACCATCACCACCACAACTACAACATACAGGTAGACACAAGTCGTCTGTGAATGCAACCAGTCAATATAACCACTGCAATAGTGAAAAATAGAAAATTAGTAAAATATATTCAACATCATGAGGAAAATGTTATCACTGCTTTGGTATAGTTAATTTCAATTAATTATATGTGTATCAGGTTCCTTCTTATCATGGTAAGGTGGGGACAGGTTAAAAGGTTTTCTGTTTCTTATCCTTACCTGTGTATTTCAGGACCTTTAGTCTCCAAAGTGCATTTTCAGTTTGTTTCTTTTTCTGTGAAATATCTAATATGAATTCATGAATTCAAAAACATTTGTACTGCTTTAGTTGAAATATTCAAACCTCTAAGATTGGAGACATTTCTGTAGTACTGTGCAGTTCTATACTATTCTTCCTCTCCAAGTTTAGGTCATATTCGTCTGAGACTGCCTTTGCCAAAGCTTTTGATACTCCCATAAATGTGCTAAATGTGTTAAATGTGGCTTCTCTGCCCCTGACACCCGCCCCCCAGGCTCAGTTCCCTCCCACAGCTGAGACAGCATCTAGCTCATAATTCTAGTGGCACTTAGTAGTGTGTGTGGAGAATGTCATGTGGGCACCACCAGTTTGACTTCACCTTCCTACACATCAAGGGTACTTCAGTGAGACAGAAGACCTCTATTGCTTAAAAACAGAATCCCTCATGTAAGTTCCAGGAGGGTATTGTTGACATTCCAGGTGATGTAGACTTTCACATGTCATGTTTCATATATTCAGAATGGTAACACACGCACACACACACACACACACACACACACACACAGAGTAGATTTTCTTTTTTATAGTATTTTGAAATTATAGCATTACCCTCATTTTCTCCGACTCGAAATCCTCATTATTACTCTTTGTTCTCTCAAATTCCCATGCCCTTTTATAATTGTTGTTTTACACACACACACACACACACACACACACACACACACACACACACTCCTGAATATAGAACTACAACTGCCTCGTTTTTTATAATATTGCCTCCATGTATATGGTCTGAAGACAGACCTTTATGACACACTTACAAATTTAATTCCTTGTTAAATATAGTTACAATCATAGTGCATCATCTTGAATCACATTACCTAATATAACTCTTCCTTTGTGACTCTATACTTGAATCCAATGCCCATAAGGTTATTGAAGAGATTCGGTGTATTGTATATCAAAGACTAGTTCTCTTGGTGTATAAACAATTTTAACTTTTAAGTGTGTGTGAGGGGTGACACTATAACAAATATTATGGGTTTACTCTTTCTTGGTGGAATGAAGTCACCAAGCAATACAGTTAGAAATATAAGGCATGACCTTTTTCTGTTTTGATATTAGAGCATGCAGCTAACTCTAACATAAGACAAGATTTTGAAGTGTGATTGTTTAATATTCCTAAATGCCATTCTCATCATGCTTTTGTTTCAGGAAATCATGTCCATGACCTCCTCCTACAGCTTGTTCAATCCAACAGATATTTCTTGAATCTCTCTTCATCAAACACCATCTTAGACAATAGCATAAATGGATGAATGAGGTCTATTTCCTACTTTGAGTCACTTTGCTCCAGTTTCTTTTAGAAACTGCATAACCAGATCCATCACTTCTGCCTATTGACTGGTACAGAAAAAGAAAAATAAATTTAACAAAAATGCAGGATCACACTAAAGAGAATCAATTAAATGCTCCTTGGTAAAAGCCATGTGAATAGAAACAATGATAAATTAAAAAAATAAACAGTGACTTTAAATTTAGTCTGTGTGCAGAACTAGGAGTGAAAAGGGTTAATATGGAAATGACTTTTATCATCCATTTCATAATTGAGTCTAAAATGCACACAAAAATGACTTCTTTGAGGATATGCATATTTAAATAGTGAACTCCCTTCAATGAAGAAAACCGTTGGAACACAGAAGAATTTTCAGAGCTTTTAACTGCGCAAAGGAGATACTTGTGGTTTGTTTAGAGGCTCAGGAAACCAAAAGAAGCTTCACCTTTACAGGAATGTCTGCACTACAACACAGTGACCACCATATTATTACCAAAGTCTTCTCTATGTGATTGGAGGAGGAAGAAAGTACATTGAACAAATGTCATTTACAATAAAGACATTTACAATAAAGAATCCTAAAACATTTCTGTTTAGTTCTCAACAGTAACATAAAACATCATCCAAGAAGCAAGGCATAGTTGTATTTGTCAACCTAATACTTACATATTCAGCATAGCTTGGAAAAATAATTCTTGTGAAGATCAGCAAAATCAAATTTAACAAACCTAGCCTGTGAACTGAATAACTCCTCAGGGAATCATATTCCAAAAGCTAGCAAATGTTATCAGGGATTATCAAAGCCATTGTCAAGAAAATGTGAACTTGAGGCTTCCAATGTCTGGAGGGATCATGAAATACATGCAGATTTGGAAAGAAAAGATAATTAACTTGATGCTCTTCATCTGCAAACTGATATTCCATATAAATTAATTAGCATTTGAATATTAAAATCTATAGAAGTTGGAAAGAAAATGTTACAAAGTTATAAGGTCATAAATAACAATTTTGATAGAGTTGTCTTTTTCTCTTGGTGAGGCACAGAGATATTTTACCATAGATACAGCAAACTGCATGACTTTGGAAATCAATGTTTCCTAAAACATAAATTTATTTATAGGGTTGAGCTTTACAAATGTAACGATATTTTAATCCTATATTTGTGTTTGCTATTGGAATCAAATACTTCAGTTATGCTAATATGAACCTGTAGCTATATATTTAATACATTGGGATAATATAAAAAGTATCAAAATATCTTTGTGGACAAAACATGTGATTCTAAATTATGCTAAAATTAAAGAGGAATTTGATAACTTTGAGTTCAAGTGTGTTCATGTTCTAAACTTACTGACCATATTTCAAATGAATACACAGAAATTTATTGTTATAGCATATCCCATGGGTTATGTGTGAGACAAAATGAAGTAAAGAGTATTACAAGATATACCCCCCAATAATTAAGTTTCTGTTTAGAAATGACAAGGGGAAACACAAGAAGTTGAACATTCATATGGGAATGGCAAGGGGCAAGTTTTAAATTGTTTGACTATCAGGACAGATTGGAACAGACATCAAGAGCATCACGGGAAGCTCCATGGGAAGCCTACTGAAAAATATTGTTCTTGTGTTAAAATGAAGCATTTGGTTTATATAAATAACTTGTAGGAAAACAAAATATAAAAAATCAAAATGAAACTCAAGACCACGCTTTATTGTAATAAAGACGAAATAACGCTGCTTTTTCCAACAGGAAGTTCTCCAGTGACCATACCCCCTCTGGCCTCTGTTGCATTGTGTCCCTTGCAGATTTAAGGAAAAGAGGACCATGATCCTCTAAGGCCTTGGCAGTGAACACATTAGAATGAGAACTCACCAGGGAGAGGTGGAGTTGGCAGATTTTATTTATATTCTAGAAGTTGACATTTTGTAAGTACTCATTAAATGAATGAAAAAACACTAAAATTGTGACTATTACCTGTTAGTAAGTGGTTGTTTCCATCTATCATCATTGTGAGCCCTGAAATTCAGCACTACCTCTTAATTAAATGCTATAAACACTTTGATATACTGAGAAATATTTAATGTCTTGGAGTGAACAGACAACAGGAAAAATTAATGAAGAGCACTACAATCTATAAGAAAAGTGCAAAATGTCTTGACATTTGAAATAAAAAATGAAGTAAACAAGCTATCAAACATTTACAGAAAGTCAAGTAGGATTTGACCTTTTCAATTTCATCCGTCCTTTAACTCAAAGCCATTATTAGCTCTTACATTACAATATTTTTGTAAATAAAGTTTAGTTCAACTAGTTCAATTCAAATTTGTCTTTGGGAGCAAACACAATGTTCCCTGTGTACAATGTCTAATTATATGATATGAAATGATAGGGAAGCTGATGATGACAATGTGTCATTTGTTATTCTCATCAGGAAAGACAGACATAAAGCACTGCACTTTCATCTTTATTTTGTGTGAAAACCCTACAGTGAGAAATCCTGAACAACAAAGATATTCACTTCTGTCATATGCAGGGAAAAGCAAAGGATTATTTTATAACAATAGTTCTTCAGGTGGGTAGCTATGATATTTTTGGAAATTTGACCTTTAACATATGACTATATATTCCTAATATTCTTTTTCTAATTTCTTCCTAATTTGTATACCAACTGGGCAAAGATATTTCCATTCCATTATAAATAATTTAGCTTCCCTTATTGCATGTTTGCAGGATCATCAGCAAGATTGGACACAAAATTTGGTCAAGATGAATTAGACTCTAAGATAATACGTGTGCCTGAACTTTCAGATTCATCAATGGTCCAATAACACATAAGTAATGTGTCCAATCTTGCTATGTTAGAAATATATGGAGATTATAAAGCTGGATTTTCATACTAATTGTGGCATTCTAAAACATTCAGCAAAATATTTGTTTTGGAAGAGGCAGAGATGATATTTTGACCATATTAAAAAGAGAATATTTCAGACACAGAGAAATTTTTAAGCTAAAACAAATGACTTATCCTTAGGAAAGATCTAGTAAAATATTTTGATTCCTTTGTGAATTCTCACAAACTGATATTATAGTAGAATTTGTGTGAGTGTGTGTGTGTGTGTCTGTGTGTCTGTGTGCCTGCGCGCACGCATGCCTAACCAATGAGCTTCTTTTGACTTTCTAGTCATCTGCCAACTGACTTCCTACGTAACCTTTAGAAGAGCTATCATAAAAGTATTATCTCCTAGCAGTTTGATCATGATGGTTGTGTTCCATTAAAAAAGCATAAGCCGGTTTTGGGAATGAACACCAACCATCATGATCAAACGGCTAGGAGATAATACCTTTATGTTACTGAATACATGTGAACATCTTCAACAGCTGTGCATTGGTATGCTCTATATCTGTGACTAGAGCAGAGAATAATACTTATTTGTGTCTCTTTCACTTGAATTCTATTCAATTTTCTTAACTTTAAATTCGACTTGGGTAGCATTACAAGAATACTATTGTGTATGATTGGAACTCACTCAATAAGGACATTATTTTATGCTAGCTACAATCTTCTATAAGGATATATTTTATTATAAATCAGGGAACTTTAAGAGTCTATGTGACTGCTTAAAGTCTGTTGGCTTCCAAAAAAGGGTACAATTTCTCTGATGATATTTCTCTATGAAAAAAAAATATTTAAAAAACCATTTTGTGCTTCCCCCTCTCTCTTTGCCCCCTCTCTCACTCTTCCTTCTCTGGCCTCTTTTCTGCTTCTTTCTCTCTCTCCCTCCTTTAATAAACTCCACGTGGTTAATGAAAAACCATTTTGCTAACAACATAATATTCTTCTAACAGTGATTGATGAGAGAAAATTCATAAAACGACTCAAAAATTGCTCTCCAAGAATGCTATCATAACCTACACTGCCTTTTTTCTGGCCAGCTTTGGAACAAAAAGCAGTGGATTGGAGTGCTCAAAGTGATAGGGCCCAGTTAGCCTTGGTTTATGACTTGTCCTGGTTGTCTTTTGTTTCTTTTTTCCTTGACTGTAGGCTGTCTTTTTCCATGTAAACAGGGGAAATTTTACTTGCCATAGAAGGTTTATTGACTATTTTTTAAACCACTTTTAAAATACTTGACAGAAATCTTCAAAGGAAGAAAAGCTTATTTTAGATCATATCATAGGATGTAGTCCACCATGATGAAGGTGGACATTGAAACTGGACTGAACTGAAGCAGGGGCTTCTTTTTTATCATTGTTTATATTATATAAACAATCTTTTCTCATTTTACACACCAATCTCAGTTCCCATTCCTTCCCTCCTCCTGCTATCCCCTCATAACTCCACCACACGCCCATTCACTCCTCAGAGAGGATAAGGTTTCCCATGGGGAGTCAATGGACTGTATCAACTTACTTAGAAATGGGACCAAAACCCTCTCCCCTATATCTAGGCTGACAAAGAGAATGGGCCCCATAAAGCCAGGTCAAGCTCTAGGAATAAATCTTGGTCCCACAATGGCCCCTCAGACTGCCTACTGCCACCAAATTCAGAGGATCTAGTTTAGTCCTCTGCAGGTTTTCCCACTATCAGTCCAGAGTCAGTGAGTTCCCACTAGCTCAGGTCAGCTGTTTCTGTGGGTATCCCCAAACTCGTCTTGGCACCTTTGCTCGTGTTATTGCTCCTTCTTCTCTTCAACTGGACTCTGGGAGCTTGGCCCAGTGCTTAGTTGTTGGTCTCTGCATCTGCTTCTATCAGTTACTGGATGAAGATTCTGTGATGATAACACAAGTAGTCATCAATCTGATTACAGGGGAAGGGCAGTTCAGGCACCCTCTGCACTGATGCTTAGGGTCTTAGCTGGGATCATCCTTATGGATTCCTGGGAATTTCCCTAGTCCTGAGTTTCTCACTAAGGGAGACATGCATGGATCCCCCTGGGTAGGGGAAATAGAAAAAAAAATCTCCTGAGAAAACTGGGAGCATGGAGGGGGCGTAAGGGTGGAACAGGAGGGGAGATGAGGAGGAAGGAGGAGAACACAAGGGGATGGGATGGGCAAGATGGTGAAAGGACAGAGAGGGAGAGCAAGGAAAGAGATACCTTGATAGAAGGAGTCATTATGGCAGGGGTTTCTTATATTGTATCAACAAGAAGGAGAAAGCTTGAATCACAGCCAGAGGTAGATATTGTCAAAGACTCCCATATTTTCCTGGTTTTAATATATCAGCCACAGTCTCAAAGATTGTATAACTTCCTAAAATAGTACCATAAGCTTCTCTAAACAGAACCACCAAGTGTTCAAACACATGATCCTATGACGTATGGTTCACATTTAAACTAGTACAGAAGACTATGTTGTGGATGAACTCATAAAACCTATACACTAACTCTTCAACCTATGTTCTTTACTACATGACTTTTTTTCTAGTCAAAAGGAATATTCTATAGAGAATTGTCCCAAGCTTATAGATTATTGAATCTATGTGGATATATATGTAGACATTTGAGTTCACCAAAGAGGAAATTGTGGAAGAATTCACAACTCAATAGAGGAGAAAACGTATTTCACAAGTGAGCAAGTGAGAATGTACTTGTAATGTCATTATGTATTGGTACAGAACATTTGTGACTGGCCACTGTGGAATGTTTGAATGCTCTTTGATGTTAAATGGGAACAAAAGTACTCTGATCCCGTGTAGCAATATGAGTATAGCTGTACCTGTAAAACATGTCAAATTATAAATAAGGATTCAGCAAGTTGTAAAATCTGGCCACAGTGGATAGGGATATGATGACAAAATCATGACTAAACAGTCAAGGCAATTCTCTGTTTTAGATTTTAGGATACAGGATTATCCATAGCATATGTAGTTCAATCTTAAGAATTTTGATTACCAATGTACACACTGATCAATATGAACTAAACATGCTTTGGAAAACGAAAACTATATCCTGTAGAAAACAATTTTCTCCATAATAAGCTTCAAGTCAAGTCTGTATTGAGTGAACTAAGTTACTCTACTATTTCCATCATTTACCCATTAACCTGCTCAGAATATGGTGGCTGGTCAAGCAGTTAGTACTCAGTATGTTTAGGTAAATCTAGTGCTAGAGGTCAGTCAGATACTTTGATGTCAATGGCTCATTAAATTAACTATCATAACTGTATTACCAAGATTCCAAAGGTGTAGTATTTATAGATGACAGTCTTGCTTGGTTTCAAGAATGGAACATTGATTCTTCTTTGCAGTTAATTTGTGCAGCTGTGTTGCCTTGTTCTTGATGTTTTCTTGATGAATATCAACACAATTTCTTTTTTTCTCTAACTAGAAAGAAGGATGGATCTTTAAGAATGAACCTTTAAAAAACTAATCTTATTAATTTTATATTTGCTTTTTAACTATATTAGGAATTCCCATTTCTAAATATGCTCAACATCTATTTAGTAAAGTGTTTGTGGGGGGGCGCTGATATATGCATGGATATACAGATACCCCCAGAAGTAAGAGTCATAGGATCTCGTGGAGTTGAATTTACAAGGGCTTATGAACTTTGAGATGTGAGTGCTACAAACCAACAAGATTCATCTGATGGGGCAGTACTCACTCAAGCGCTGTGCCATCTCTCCCGACCCTATGTTTCTTTCATATTTTTCATTGTTTTATTTCATTTTATATTCCAATCAGGGTTCTCCATTCCACCCCTTCTCCCATTCCTTTGCCTCCTACCATCCCCCTCACCTTCCACCAAGCCTACCCCCAGTCCACTCCTCTTCATGGGTAAGGGCTCCTGTAAGGAGTCAACATAGTCTGGCTCATTCTGTTGGGGCAGGGCCCAGGTCCTCTCCATGCATTAAGACTAAGCATGTCATCCTATCATTGGGAATGAGCTCCAACAAGCCAGCTCATGTACCAGATTATATCACGCAGACCCTATGGTTAACAAAATATCTACAATTTGGAGATATGAGATAGGTTTCTGTGATAAATTATTTTTCACATTTCTCTCCTAAAAAAGTTTGTTTATATATGTATATTTGAATATTATTTTATTTTGACTGTCAAAATTAAAGATTGCTAAGCAATCATTTCATTCTATTACTTCTAAAGTATGTGATTTATTTTGGATATATATTAAACAGTTTTAAAAAGGTTTATATATGCATGCATGAACACCAAATGCATGTATGGTATATAGAGGTCACAGAAAAGGGCTTTGGAGCTCCTAGAAATGAACCTAAGCATAGTTATAAGCTGCCATGTGAGTAATGAAAACCAAACGGGGTATCTGAAAGAGAACCAAGTGTTCTTATCCACTGATCCATTTCTCCAGCAGCTTATTATCAAAATTTTGTAATGAGTTAATTGTTCCTATTTGAAATTACACAATAAATTATTTTGACAATAAGTTATATCAATTTACTTTTATATCAGGATAAATTAAACATCATGGACGAAATAGTAATAATATTAAAGAAAAAGTCTGGGCCAAGATTTTATATACATATATATGAAATCATTTTAATAAACCACCTTGTTCAGCTTTTCATTTAAAAAATGCATTGAAGGACTGACATAATGAAAACATATAAAGAATATTTGAAAGTAATGTGTTTAAATTGAGGTATTTCAAATGCAAAATGATATAACTTCATTTTACACTGATAAGATCAGCACTTTGAGAAGAAATTACAAGCAAAAAGCCTGAAGATGTGAATTAAAATGCTTAAAATGGTTGCCTAGCCAAAACTAATATGCCCAGCTTTTAATTGTGTCTTGTGGATGGTTGCTGAAGGATTGCTGTGTGTCTAACCCTGTGCTCTGCACACACACACACTTGGAGAAACTCTCCATCAACTGCAGTCATTATGCTGAGTCAGCAGGCTGTTGTGGTTTGAGTATCATTCTAAATGCAAAGTAGGTACCAATCTGTGTTTGGTAAACTGTGTGAAAGCATCAGTCCCAGTTTGCACTGACAGCCCTTGAGTACATTGTCAGAATGCCTGACAACTCATGCATCAGTCTAGCATTCTTGGTCATCACTAGTTGTCTCCTCTACTTAATGGCCTCACTCTCTCCCTTCACATTAGCTGCTTGAGTTTTGTCTTCCCTAATTTACCTCTAATTCATTCCTAAACCAATTCTAATTTGTATTCCTCCCACATGACCACACTGAAACTGCTTTTCCCAAAGTCACCAGTGACCTCATTTTTGCTAAAACACATGGAGAGTTGTTCAACTGTCTTGTTCCTAAACAGGAACCTAGTATTACAGTACACAGTTACAGTTGCCTCCTCCCATCTTTGCAAAATATAGTTTTCAGTTAATTTTATTGTTCTCTCTTAAGAATTGATCTGCCAGTATCTTTGTTTCCTTTTAAACAATGTTAAACAAGTTAAAAGATTTGTCCTTTGCTGTTTTCCACTAACACACACACACACACACTCACACACACACACAGAGAGAGAGAGAGAGAGAGAGAGAGAGAGAGAGAGAGAGAGAGAGAGAGAGAGAGAGAGAGAGAGAGAGAGAGAGAGAGAGACAGAGAGAGACTATATTCTGCCATTTTGGGACTACTTCATCCTTTAGGTTATTTATAGTCCCTTTCGAAGAGCAGTTTTTCTATGAAATATAGGCAGGCACTACCATTCGGCTTTACAGGGCATACTCTATTCAATCTGCTCAATTCATCATCTTATCCCTTCCCTGTACTACGGTCTTCATTTAGACTACATCATGTCTTTCTTCAGTTACTCTTAATGTATACTTGTGAAACATTTCATTGACTGTCTTATTTCAGTCTGTCAGCAGATAAGCAAAAGGGACTTTCATATATTTATATATATATATATGTATATCTTCATATGTATATGTGTGTATATATGTATATATAGTGTTATTTCTCTAATACATCTAAAATTCTCCAATAGTTACTCTGCTGTATAGCTGACATCACAAATTTCATTGAAAAGCTTCATAAAATTCATTCTGCATTATTCCACATCTCACTGTAATTTCTATCTATCTTTTCCTCCAATCCATCTGTCTATGGCATTTACTATCTAATAATAATAATATCAGCCTGATATTTTATAAGTTGGTCAACATAAACTGCTATTGTTTATCACAATCTGATTGTGTGTGTCAATATGAAGTGTTATATCACCTTTACCTGCATAATTTTACTTATTATCTAAGATGTAAACATTGAAATACTTGGCATTGGAAATTATCACCCCAAAACTGAAGGCTGACGAACCTCCCAACGGTCCTATCTTTGTGGACATGAAGAGAAGATTTGAAATGCAGAGCACAAGGTTAAGAAAATGTTCTTCTTTCATGTTCTTTAACATTTATAGTCCTTGTGTAATAAAATGAAGTTTCACAAAGTCAAGGAATAAAAATAATACCATAGAGCTTACAGAAAACAAGAGACTAGGAGAAAAATACATCAAATCTAACAATGAAATTAACTATTAAAGTTAATCCATTAGTAATGCTATTTTTCAACCTTAACACCAAGAAATATGTGTTTTTCCATGCTCTATGAGGACCAGTACAAGACATCAGGAAGAATCCATCCACATGATTATTTTTTCTCTTTTTCGTTTGGAGATAGGGACTCATTGTGTAGCTCTGGCCAGCCTGCAAATTACTATGTGGACAAGGTTGCCTTTGAACCCACAGAGATGGACCTTCTTTTGTCTCCTGAGTACTGGGTTTAAATGTGTATATCTCTGAACCCTATAAAATGTATAATAATGCTTCAGCTAATGACTCTGAAGTTCTGTAAAAGTGCTATGCTGCTTATGATGGCCTTAAACAAGAATCCCAGCAAACAGTGTAGCACAAACTGTGTGCATAGCATTTGCTTTAAAAATACCCTAAAACTATCAGGAACCCATCATGCATCAGGTACACACAGATGGATTCACACCATTGACTGTCCTTTGTCACAGTAGAATGCAGAATGAGGAAATCTCATTCAGATGCTAGACAGCCTGGTTTCAGGAAATAGATATGCTTCACCAAGTTAATACCTTAAAAAAGAAAAACAGTATCTAATATTCCCAAAATTAGCAAATATCAAATGCTGTTGTAAACATTATAAGTACCCATCAGTTATACATAAAAAATGAAATGAATAACACATCCACTTGATGTAATCTTCAAGGAATTTTAGAAAACTAACTGAATTGCATATGTAACATATGAAAATCCACATATTTGCAGCTTTTCCTATGAACAAAAGTTAAATTCTGTGGCTGAGGCACCTCATCAGTCTGTGGTTGAAAGTCATTTGAAATATACAGAACTATTTGAAATTTAGGTAAATTTATCATTTACTAGAGAATCAATAGTCAGTTACCAATAAGTATAATGACTGACCTGTGTAGTATAATCTTTTCTCCTTAACTTTTTGGAGCTGTTTGGGTCCACAATACTATTAGGAAGTTGGTACAATACTTTATTGGATTTTCCATTGTCTTTGAGTTTATATGATAACCCCTAAATATTGAAGATTTCAGTGAATATTATATAGTCTAAAATAATGCACAAGTCCACACATATAGAAGATGCTTCACCTATATGTAAAAAATGATACCTACCTGAAAAAGTTTCATCACCTTGAATATCAACGTAATTATGCAGGTTCACCATTTCCTTATTTACTGTTTCATACTACCTGGTATTTTATACTACAACCCCAGATGTTACCAACACATGGAAAAATGAATTTCTTTGAAAATGTTGTGTGTACATTCTCTATAACCATCAAACTTACATGAACTCAGTGTGACCAGGTGTGGAGTCTGTAGCTACCAGGCTATTAGCAGATCCACAATGCTAATATACTAGAAAATGTGGACAATAAACATCTGGCTTCATACAGATATGTATCTCTGTCCTCTTCACACTAATAAACTCAATATTTCAACCAGGACAACATAAAACATGGCATTATTTTTATTATATTTAAGGTGAAAGGTAATGTGATTTAATGAAAATTCTATTGGGCAAGGAGTAGAAACTTTCAAATGAGATAATGAATGTGAAAGCTTTTGAAAAAGATAAGGTATTCAGCAAATTTGCAACAACTATAAAAAATGTAAACATTTTATTTCTAGTGAAAGTCTTGAGTCCTGTAACTATCTTTCAAAATAACATTAATTTCTCCAATAAAAAGTAATGAATGTTGTCATAGGAAATACTAACACCTATGTTTAAATCCCAAAGTTGGAATTTCCTGCTTTCTTAACGCTAAAGTTTGACACTTGGCATCTGTCCATGGATAATTTTTAACTTTGTTTGTTTTGAGACTTGTG